ATGTAATAGAGCCTGGCTACACCTGTCTTGAAGCTTGGTTTAGGCAGGCTTTGCAAGGCAAAAGCCAGGCTGGGACTGGCTTTATACAGGCTTTGCAAAGAAAAAGCCAGGCTGGGGTTGGCTTTAGGCAGGCTTTGCAAGGTAAAAGCCAGGCTGGGGCTGGCTTTAAGCCGGCTTTGCAAGGCAAAAGCCAGGATGGGGCTGGCTTTAGGCAGGCTTTGCAAGGCAAAAGCCAGGCTAGGGATGGCTTTAAGCAAGCTTTGCAAGGCAAAAGCCAGGTTGGGGCTGGCTTTAATTAGGCTTTGCAAGGAAAGAGCCAGGCTGGGGCTGGCTTTGCAAGGGAAAAGCTAGGCTGGGGCTGGCTTTAAGCAGGCTTTGCAAGGCAAAAGCCAGGCCAGGGATGGCTTTAAGCTGGCGATGCCAGGGTATCATCAGGCTTTAGCCTGGCGCCACCAAGCCTGTGGAGCTGGGTGATTTTATGTTCTTTTAAGCTCAGATCCTTCACTTCCCGAACCTTTAATGTAGAAATCATTCTAAAAATTGCTAAACCATCCTCAGATTGATCATGAAGACATGCTAATACCACTGAGAAATGATTCAACAATCTCCAGAAATTCAACATAACAGATTCAATCTTTTCCTTAACATTTGAACATATCAGAAGTAAAATAAATTGCACCATCCAATACCTGCTTATCACATTGGTCCTGTACATTATCAAAACACCCCCAGAATGAGCATGTTACCATGCTAATACCACTGGAACGTACCTTAATAGCATACAGAATGAGACATAAAAGAAACACGCAAGTATGTGCATATTCCAATCCTGTGAAGTCATCAGTCTGGGGCTTTTCTCTTTGCTATTCTAACCCTAAGGTTAGGAGTTTGAGACTTGTCGAAATTAATCAACCTCCTCCTTGCACTAGACAATTCAGAGAATGAGTGAAACTCAGATGTAACTGCAAAAGAAAAAATAATGTTAGCTATAAAATCCGCCACTAAGTTGCCTTCTCTGAACACATGTTGAAAGATCACATTGAAGTTGCCCTTCATCTCTATAGTTTTCTTCACATCATTTGCAATTACCCAAGGAGGATCCCACTCCCCTTCTATCACTTTCTTCATCACTAATGAATCAGTCTCCAATATGAGAGGGTGAAGATCATGCTCCACACAATATTCCAATCCTTGAAGAATAGCCTTAGCTTCAGCCACAACATTAGTTGTCACCCCCAGGTCTACTGCCCTTGCATACACCACATCACCTTCATCATTCCTCACACAAAAGCCTAATGAGCTAGGACCAGGATTTCCTTTTGAGACTCCATCAGTATTGCATTTGTACCAACCATGAAAAGGAATTTGCCATGTTACTCTTGTAGTGATCAATATAGGTTTATATCCTTCAAAATATTGAATTATGTCTGGCCATAACAATGGAATATTAGGCATCTAAGCATACCTCACCCTTGCCAGTTGATGCAATGTCCTATTGATCTCATGAATCACCCTATTTGTCGACACTGAACCCCCATGTTTACCTGCATTTCTTCTCTTCCAAAGTTCCCAAGTGATGATAGCTGGAACTGCTTGAAACAATGGCTTTAACTTTGGACAAAATTGAGCATACCACCAATGCCTTACAACCTGCTTCAATTGAATCAATGGCACAGTAATTCTAGCAGCCCCCATGAACAAGTTCCATACTTTAAAGGCAATAGGACTTGTGATAAATATATGCTCAATAGATTCCTCTTGGGGCTGCTGACAACACCAACACCTAGACATCACCATTTGCCCTTGCCTCCTCCACATGTCATCAGTGGATATTTTCTTCCTCCACAATCTCCACAAGAAGAATGATATCTTAAATGGTAAGCCTTTAATCCATATTAACTTGAATTCCTGATTAGGATCAGCCCTATGCCTTAATATTTGCCAAGTACTGCTAACACTGAACTTTCCTGAAGAAGTTGGCATCCAGTATGGCCTATCCCAGTATCCCTCACTGCCTTCATAATGCACATTTAGCCTTATATATTCTGCAATTTCCTCATTGAATGTTTGATCTAGCAGCTGATCGTCCCATGTTTCACCTTGCCGTAATTCTGCCACATCCTGAAAATCTTCATTAATTGGAAACTCTTCAGGTAATACGTGATAAAGTGCACCCAATCCAGTGTAATTTTCATGCCAGATATTAGTTGTTCCACTCTTCAATTCCCATAGGATTTCATGTTCTACTTCTTCCCTAGCATTCAGGATTTGTCTCCAAACATTAGACCCCCTTCTAAACTGCACCACCGTTGGTATCTCCTTCTTGCAATACTTATTCCGCATAAAATTAAACCACAAAGATTTTGTGGTCCTAACCTCCACCATAGTTTAGCAAACAATGCCCTCGACACATCATGTAAGGACCTAAAACCTAGGCCCTCTTCCTCTTTAGGAAGACAAAGATTTTGCCATGAGGCCCAATGTCTGCTTCTCCCTTCTTCCTTTGTGCTCCGAAAGAACCTAGCAAAAATCTTATGAAGATGCTCCAGGACATTTTTTGGTGGATGCAGGACTGATAACATGTGGACTGGCATACTTTGTAACACACTAGTAATGAGTGTTGCCTTTCCTCCAAATGACAGCAGCTTTCCTTTCCATGAATGCAATTTAGCCTTTACTTTCTTGATAAGATCCTAATAATATTCCTTCCTCCTTCTAGTGTAGAAAATAGGACACCCTAGATATGTGAAGGGGAATTTACCTTTTGCAAATCCTGTAATAGCTCCAAGCGCCTGACACAATCCATTAGGAATCTTTGAATACATGTAGTATGAACTCTTATCTTTGTTAATCATCTGGCCTGATATCTTCTCATAGTTCCCCAACACTGCCATAATCTTGCTCAAGGAATGGAGGATGAGCAGAAGCAAAAATTATAGTATCATCAGCATATGCCAAGTGGTTTAAAGGATCAGACCACTTAGGCATTCCAAATCCCACAAATGACCTGTCTTCAAATAGCTTATTCAAAGACCTGGAAAGTACCTCAGCTGACAGAATGAACAATGCTGGTGATAGAGGATCCCCTTGCTTTACACCCCTTGTAGACTTAAAGAACCCTGAGGACTGCCCATTCACCAATACTGAATACCAATTTTTTGACACCAAGTTCCACACTATGTTGATGAAGTGCTCAGAAAATCTCATCTTCCTTAGTACATGCAATAAGTACTTCCATGAAACCCTATCATAGGCCTTAGCTATATCAAGCTTGATCACCATATTAGCTGGCTTTCCCCTTAACCTTATGTCAGTGACAATTTCTTGAGTCAACAAGCTGTTCTCAAATATACTCCTACCCTTCACAAATCTGGATTGATTAGGAGATATTAGAGAAGGCAAAAAAATTTCAATCTATCATGTAACACTATAGACAAGACTTTGTTAATGAAGTTGCTCAAGCTAATAGGTCTTAAGTCAAAAAAGGTCTCGACTCTAGGTTTCTTAGGCAGCAACACTAGATTGGTGTGAGTGATGGATTTAGGCAGTGCAGCTCCTCCATAGAAGTGTAGCACCATGTTGTGTATATCAGCACCAATAACATCCCAGCATGTTTGATAAAACAGGCCAGTGAATCCATATGGACCACTAGCACTCTCCCCACTAAGCTCAAAAACTGTTGTCTTTACCTCTTCAATTGTTGGCAATCTGCTAAGTTCCAAATTCTGTTCCATAGTGACTATCGAAGGTACATTATGAGCAAGGAAAAGTCAGATGTATCACCTTCATTTGTGAACTGTTCTTGATAAAAGTCCACTGCAGCTGTAGCCAATTGCTCCTGGTCTTCAATCCATACCCCACTTACACTTTTGATCCTCTTCAGTTGTTATTTCTTTCTTTTGCCATTGACATGATGGTGAAAGAAACTTGTATTCCTATCTCCTTCAGCAAACCAAGTCATCCCAGCTTTCTGTTTCCAATAATGCTTCACAATACTCAAGTATTTTCTTCAATTCAGATTGTGCCTTTTGAAGCACAATCCTGTTCTCAATTGTAGGCTCTTCTTCAAACAACATCTCTTTCACCCTAACAATGTCCTCCAAAATAGCCAACTGCTTGAAGATATCACCAAATGTTTCCCTACTCCATTTTGACAGTGCTGCCTTCACCCTCTTGAGCTTCTGCTTGAACGTTAAAAACGGATCCCCATTGAAATCAGCTTCCCAATTCTACCTCACCACATCCATAAATGTAGCATGTTTAGTCCAAAAGTTCAAGAACCTGAAAGGCTTGACAAAATTGGTGGTCTGCTCCCCACATGTCATTAACAATGGTGCATGATCTGATCTAGTTCTGATTAGATGTTCAACTTCAATAGTTGGCAACATGTTCTGAAATGGAAAATCACAAAGATCCTATCCAATATTTTGAATATACACGCAGCATTGGATCTCCCATTCCACAATGTAAATGGACTTCCTTTGTATCCTTGCTCAAACAAACCACAAGAATTTACACAAAATGCAAAATCCTCATATTCAGGCAGGTATACCGGTAGTCCTCCTATTTTCTCATCTTCATGTAATATCACATTGAAATCCCCTCCTACCAACCATGGCAAATTCATATCACTTGCTAAGTAACACAAGTGATCCCACAATTCCAACCTCTCAATTGCTGAACATTTTGCATAAACAAATGTCATCATCGTGTGCTTCCCCAGGTCATGTTGAAGCACTCTCACAATCACCTGTTGCTCAGTATCCTCCACTAATTCCCATTCTACCACTGCATCAAAGAACAACCAAATTTGCCCATTAATATTTGCATATGCCGTCTCCATATTCAACCTTCTTCTATATCTATCAATGAATCTCTTCTTTTGAAAAGGTTCCATAAATGCAACTACACAAAAGTTATGCTCCCTATTCATGTTGATCACCCTTGGAAATTCCTACTTGTATTCACAGACCTTATGTTCTATATTAATGTTTTGATCATCATTTAGATAGAGAAGCTGCCCTCCTGGGCATAATTCTTGAAGGTTGTTCTGGCTCTTTATTATGATTCTTCTTTGTTTTCTTACCTCCTTTAGCACTAGCTGTAGGTGATAGATCCCCATCCCTAGCCACCCGTTTGAAGTTTTCTGCTATTGATTCATCATCTTCCTCATCCTACATAGGATTTTGTCTCATTAAGTCATCATCAATTGGTGCCACATTGTGTGTAACTAAATCATGTAGATGTTGTAGCGGAGTCTTCAGTGGAACATTAAGATACAACTACATAATTTGATCAGTGCCATATTCCATAGGCACTTCCTCTATTTCCCCAGATCCTCTTGGAACAATTGCCTGCTCATCATTCTTTTCATTGCTTGACACGACCCTAGTTCACCAATCGTGAACATGTCGTGACGGCACCTGGTCCCCATGACCAGGTAAGCCTAACATCTGCGGAAATATAATACTTGCGGAAAAAAATAGAGAAAATAAAATCAGGTATCTAAAGGAAACTGTACTGAATGCCGCTGGGCAAGTACAACTCAATATCACAAGCCTAAAACAATTCCCAAAACCCGAAAACTCACGGGCAACACAGGCTACAGAAGTGTATAGTAAGTTTCCATACTCCAGAATTTCTAACAACCGAAAGAAGGAAAACTAAGTACTCAAGATAGAGTAAGAGGGAGACTCGTCGGTCTGCGGACGCAGCAGATCTACCTCGAAGTCTCCGTAGTCCTCCTGCCTCACTGATAGTGCGCCTGAGTGGAGGTACCTGGATGATCTGCACATAGAAAACATGCGTAGGAAGGGCATGAGTACACCACAACGGTACTCAGTAAGTGCCAAGCCTAACCTCGGTTGGGTAGTGACGAGGAAGGTCAGGGCCCTACTGAGACAAAATATATTAATAATAATAATTTAACAATATAATAATCTGACAGAAATAATAAATACAGCAGTGAGATAAGACAAGTCAACGAGGCTATAACAACTACACGAGTACAGAATAAACACAGAGTAAACACAGATCAACACCAATGATAACAATGAGGGTCTCCCAGGATACCGTCCTGTAGCCCTTTTTCTCATCTGTCCGGTGGATCTTCCGGGATACCGTCCCGTAGTCCATCATATGTGTACATCCGAAGGATCTTCCGGGATACCGTCCCGTAGTCCAACCACCATTGTGCAGGGGGATCTATCGGGAATCTAACCCGCAATCCCAAAGTAAAAGTGCAGGGGGGATCTATCGGGAATCGAACCCGCAGTCCCAAAGTAAAAGTGCAGGGGGATCTATCGGGAATCTAACCCGCAGTCCCAAAGTAAAAGTGCAAGGGGATCTACCGAGAATCGAACCCGTAGTCCCAAAGTAAACAAACAAGGGGGGGGGGAGCTACCGGAATCCCACATCCGTAGTCCCAATGTAAATGCGCAATCACAACCAGAAGGTACACGGAAATGAAGTACAAAAAGACAAGCAACAGATAGTACTGACCTAGCATGCTTCACGTAGTACAGTTAAGGCAGCTTAAGCAATTAGGCAAAATAAATCAACTAAACATAATTTCCTAATCTAGGACAAGTTATAATTTCAAGTAGAACAAAGCAAATATGGAAGGAACTCAATCTCAATATCTTAAAAAAACCGGGTTTTCCAACAATTGGCTCAAGTACACGCCCGTCACCTCGCGTACAAGGCACTCAAATCAACAAATAACAAATCCTAAGGGGAAAGGTCCCCCACACAAGGTTAGACAAGCCACTTACCTCGAACCGGCTCAATATCAATAGAAACCACGCCTTTGCCACGAGTATCCGACTCCAAATGGCCCAAATCTATTCAATTCAATTACATATCGTAAATAATATTGCAAACACCTGATTCCACTATTAAATTTAGAGCTAGGGCGCGAAAATAGGTAAAATGACCCAAATGCCCCTCCAGCCATCATCTCGGAATCGAATAATTTTTATGTTTTCAGAACCCTCGTACTCTCACGAGTCTAACCATATAACAATCTCCCAAATCGGAGGTCAAATGCCCCCTCAAAACCCCATAGTTAGGTCTAAGAAGTTTACCCACTTCCCATTCAAAAACACGAAATTAAAGGGCGAATTTGCGATTAGATTAATGGGTTTTAGTCATAGGAGAGTAGAGAATCGTTACCCAGTGATTGCCCTTGAAAAACCCTTGAAATTGCTCCCAAATTCGAGCTCCAAACCTTGAGTTTTGATAAAAATGGAAAAACCTCGTTTTTGAAATGTTAAGTACTGTTCAGGGGTCTAAAGCATCGCGAACGCGAAAGACAGCACGCGTTCGCGAAGAAGGAAAATATAAGGGACCAAAAATGCCCTTCGCGATCGCGAAGGAATGGATGCGGATGCGAAGGCCTGGGTTCGAGTGAGCTACGCGAACGCGACATAGGTCATGCGAACGCATTGAATGAAAATCAAGCCCACCCCTTGGAGTCCAATAAGTCTATGCGAACGCGACAGCCCTGACGCGAACGCGGTTAAGAAACGTGTGAAGCTATGCGATCGCGGAGCACTAATTGCGAACGCAATGAAGAAACTTGTCATCCTCCAGAATTACTCTACGCGAACGCGTAGAGGAGGACGCGAACGCGAAGAGGAAGAAGGCCAAAGCTACGCGAACGCGTGTATGTTACCGCGAACGCGAAGAAGGAATTGGGACCTGCACAGCTGAAGGATTTTCTGCAACACTTTGAAACTCCAAAATGCTCCGTGAGCATCCGAAACACACCCGAGGACCCCCCGGGGCCTCAACCAAACCTACGGACGTATCCCATAACATCATTCAAACTTGTACCAATCCTTAAACCACCTAAAACAACGCCGGAAACACGAATTAATCGAGGATTCAAGCCTAAGAACTTCAAATTCCAACAAAACACGCTTTCGATCAAAAACCTAACCAAACCTCGTCCGATTGACTTGAAATTTTGCACGCACGTCCCAAATGACATAACGGTGCTATAGAAACTTCATGAATTCCATTCCGACCCTCAGATCAAAAATTCACTATCAGACCGGAAACTTCAGAAACTCAAACTTCGGCATTTCAAGCCTAAGTGAGCCACGAGGTTCCAAAATACATTCCGAACACGCTCCCAACCCCGAAATCACCTAACGGAGCTAACTGAACCATCGGATTTCCATTCCGAAGTCGTCTTCACACTGTTCCAATTACGGACCATTTTTCAACACTTAAGCTCTCATTTAGGGACTAAGTGTCCCAAAACTTTCCAAAACTCAACACCGAACGTCCCGGCAAACCAAAATAGCAGAAATGAACTTAGGGGAAGCAGTTAATCGGGGATCGGGGCATAAATTCCAAAAATGACCGGCCGGGTCGTTACATCCTCCTACACTTAAACATTCGTTCGTCCTCGAACGAGCATAGAGAACATACCTGAAATAGTGAAAAGATGCGGGTACTGGTTGCGCATATCCTGGGGTCCATTGTGTCATTTTTGACGTGTGTGAAAAATTTCAGATCATTCGGATGAGGTTTGATAGGATTTTGGATCGGTTGCGAAATTCGGAAGTTTTGAAATCCTTAGGCTTGAATTCGAGGGTGATTTGATGTTTTGATGTTGTTTTGAGTGTTCCGAAGGTTGGAATAAGTTTGAATGGTGATATGTGACTTGTTGGCATGTTTGGTTAAGGTCNAACGCACGACGACGAACGACGAAGACACGCAGCGTTCGCGAAGAAGGAAAATATAAGGGACCAAAAATGCCCTTCGCGATCGCGAAGGAATGGATGCGGATGCGAAGGCCTGGGTTCAGTGAGCTACGCGAACGCGACATAGGTCATGCGAACGCATTGAATGAAAATCAAGCCCACCCCTTGGAGTCCAATAAGTCTATGCGAACGCGACAGCCCTGATGCGAACGCGGTTAAGAAACGTGTGAAGCTATGCGATCGCGGAGCACTAATTGCGAACGCAATGATGAAACTTGTCATCCTCCAGAATTACACTACGCGAACGCGTAGAGGAGGATGCGAATGCGAAGAGGAAGAAGGCCAAAGTTACGCGAACGCTTGTACGTTACTGCGAACGCGAAGAAGGAATTGGGACCTGCACAGCTGAAGGATTTTCTGCAACACTTTGAAACTCCAAAATGCTCCGTTGAGCATCCGAAACACACCCGAGGCCCCCGGGACCTCAACCAAACCTACGGACATAACCCATAACATCATTCAAACTTGTACCAATCCTTAAACCACCTAAAACAACGCCGGAAACACGAATTAATCGAGGATTCAAGCCTAAGAACTTCAAATTCCAACAAAACACGCTTTCGATCAAAAACCTAACCAAACCTCGTCCGATTGACTTGAAATTTTGCACGCACGTCCCAAATGACATAACGGTGCTATAGAAACTTCATGAATTCCATTCCGACCCTCAGATCAAAAATTCACTATCAGACCGGAAACTTCAGAAACTCAAACTTCGGCATTTCAAGCCTAAGTGAGCCACGAGGTTCCAAAATACATTCCGAACACGCTCCCAACCCCGAAATCACCTAACGGAGCTAACTGAACCATCGGATTTCCATTCCGAAGTCGTCTTCACACTGTTCCAATTACGGACCATTTTTCAACACTTAAGCTCTCATTTAGGGACTAAGTGTCCCAAAACTTTCCAAAACTCAACACCGAACGTCCCGGCAAACCAAAATAGCAGAAATGAACTTAGGGGAAGCAGTTAATCGGGGATCGGGGCATAAATTCCAAAAATGACCGGCCGGGTCGTTACATCCTCCTACACTTAAACATTCGTTCGTCCTCGAACGAGCATAGAGAACATACCTGAAATAGTGAAAAGATGCGGGTACTGGTTGCGCATATCCTGCTCGGTCTCCCAAGTCGCCTTCTCGGCCAGCTGACCCCGTCACTGAACCTTTACTGAAGCTATGTTCTTTGACCTCAACTTTCTTATCTGCGTGTCCAAAATAGCCACTGGCTCCTCAACATAGGATAGATCCTTGTCCAACTGGACTGAACTGAAATCCAACACGTGCGACGGATCACTGTGATACCTCCGGAGCATCGAAACATGAAATACCGGATGAACTCCAGCCAAGCTGGGAGGTAAGGCAAGCTCATAGGCAACCTCCCCAACTCTCCTCAAGATCTCAAAAGGGCCAATAACCTCGGACTCAACTTCTCTTTCTTTCCAAACCTCATGACGCCCTTCACAGGCGAGACCCAAAGCAGAACCCGCTCACCAACCATATATGAAACATCACGAACCTTCCTGACCGCGTAACTCTTCTGTCTAGACTGGGCTGTACGGAGTCTGTCCTGAATCACCTTGACCTTCTCTAATGCATCCTGAACCATCTCTGTACCCAATAGCCTGGCCTCACCCAGCTCAAACCAACCCACCGGAGATCTACACCTCCTGCCATATAAAGCCTCATACGGCGCCATCTGAATGCTGGACTGATAACTGTTGTTATAAGAAAACTCCGCCAATGGCAAGAAATGATCCCAAGACCCTCCAAACTCAATCACGCACGCACGGAGCATGTCCTCAAGAATCTGAATAGTGCGCTCGGACTGTCCGTCCGTCTGGGGGTGAAATGTTGTGCTCAACTCCACCCGAGTGCCTAACTCCTGCTGCACAGCTCTCCAGAACCGCGATGTAAATTGAGTACCTCTGTCTGAAATGATAAAAACTGGAATACCATGCAAACGGACGATCTCCCTAATATAAATCTCCGCCAACCGCTCCGATGAATAAGTGGTACACACAGGAATGAAATGAGCGGACTTGGTCAGCCGGTCCACAATAACCCAAATGGAATCAAACTTCTTCAAGGTCCGTGAAAGTCCAGATACAAAATCCATGGTGATGCGCTCCCATTTCCACTCCGGAATCTCTATCTGCTGGAGCAACCCACCCGGGCGCTGGTGCTCATACTTCACCTGCTGGCAGTTGAGGCATCTAGACACATAACCAACTATATCCTTCTTCATCCGCCTCCACCAGTAGTGCTACCTCAGGTCCTGATACATCTTCGCGGCACCCGGATGGATGGAATACCGCGAACTATGGGCCTCTGCTAGAATCAACTCTCGAAGGCCATCAACATTGGGCACACAAATCCGGCCCTGCATCCTCATTACTCCATCATCTCCAATGGTCACATCTCTGGCATCCCCACGCTGGACCCTATCCTGAAGGACAAGCAAATGAGGGTCATCATACTGCCGCTCCCTGATACGGTCAAATAGGGAAGACCGGGAAACCACACAGGCTAGAACCCGACTGGGCTCCGAAAGATCCAATCTCACGAACTGGCTGGCTAAGGCCTGAACATCCATCGCCATAGGCCTCTCTGAAGCTGGTAAATATGCCAAACTCCCTCTCGCCCGGCGACTCAAGGCATCCGCCACCACATTGGCCTTGCCCGGGTGATATAGGATAGTGATGTCATAATCCTTCAGCAGCTCTAACCACCTCCTCTGACGCATATTGAGATCCTTTTGCTTGAGCAAGTGCTGCAAACTCCGATGATCAGTATAGATCTCACAAGGCACTCCATACAAATAATGACGCCAGATCTTCAAGGCATGAACAATGGCAGCTAACTCAAGGTCGTGGACAGGGTAATTCTTTTCATGTACCTTCAACTGTCTGGACGCGTAGGCAATCACCCTACCATCCTGCATCAACACTGCTCCAAGGCCAACTCTCGAGGCATCACAATAAACTGTATAAGACCCCGAACCGGTAGGCAACATCAAGATAGGGGCTGTAGTCAAAGCTGTCTTGAGCTTTTGAAAGCTCGCCTCGCACTCCTCTGTCCACTGAAATGGGGCACCCTTCTGGGTCAATCTAGTCATAGGGGCAGCAATCGATGAAAATCCCTCCACAAAACGACGGTAGTAACCCGCCAAGCCAAGGAAACTGCGAATCTCTGTAGCTGAGGACGGCCTGGGCCAACTCTGCACGGCCTCTACCTTCCTCGGATCCACCCGAATACCCTCGCTAGAAATCACATGGCCTAAGAATGCCACAGAACTCAGCCAAAACTCACATTTTGAGAACTTTGCATATAACTTTTTCTCCCTCAAGGTCTGTAGCACGGTCCTCAGATGCTGCTCATGATCTTGCCGACTCCGGGAATACACCAGAATATCATTAATAAAAACAATCACGAACGAGTCAAGATATGGCCTGAATACACTGTGCATCAAATGCATAAAAGCTGCCGGGGCATTAGTCAGCCCAAAGGACATAACAAGAAACTCGTAATGACCACACCGAGTCCTGAAAGCAGTCTTCGGGATATCTGGCTCCCGAATCTTCAACTGATGGTAACCTGAGCACAAGTCAATCTTAGAGAACACCTGTGCGCCCTGAAGCTGGTCAAACAGATCGTCAATGCGAGGCAAAGGATAACGGTTCTTCACTGTAACCTTGTTCAGCTGGCGGTAATCAATACACATGCCCATGGAACCATCCTTCTTCTTCACGAACAAAACAGGAGCACCCCACGGTGAAACACTGGGTCGAATAAAACCCTTACGAAGCAATTCCTGTAACTGATCCTTCAACTCCTTCAACTCAGGAGGAGCCATACGATACAGAGGAATGGAAATGGGCTGAGTGCCCGGCAACAGATCAATGCCGAAATCAATGTCTCTATCAGGTGGCATGCCCGGAAGATCAGCTGGAAATACATCGGGATAATCCCGTACCACTGGAACAGAATTAACAGAAGGGGTATCAACACTAACATCTCTCACATAAGCCAAATACGCGGCACACCCCTTCTCAACCATGCGTTGAGCTTTAAGAAAAGAGATAACTCTACTGGGAGTATGATCTAAAGTACCACTCCACTCAATACGCGGAACACCTGGCATAGCCAGCGTCACGGTCTTAGCGTGACAATCAAGAATAGCAAAGTGGGGCGACAACCAGTCCATGCACAAAATAATGTCAGAATCCACCATACCGAGTAATAATAAGTCTGCTCTGGTCTCAAAACCACGAATAGTAACCAAACATGACCGATAAATGCGGTCCACAACAAGAGAATCTCCCACAGGAGTAGAAACATAAACGGGGGCACTCAAAGAATCCCGAGGCACACCTAAATGCGGAGCAAAGTAAGAAGACACATAAGAGTAAGTAGAGCCCGGATCGAATAGAACCGATGCCTCTCTGTGACAAACCAGAATAATACCTATAATGACGGAGTCAGAGGCAACAGCCTCAGTACGAGCAGGAATAGCATAATATCTGGCCCGGCCCCTCTCTCGAGGGCGACCTCTATCTCCCCTACCTCCGCCCCTAGCCGGCTGGGCAGGTGGGGTAGCTGCTGGAGTTGTGATCATGGCCTGACAACTCTGAGGAGCACGCTGCGGCTGAGCAGCCTGTGAAGATGCACCCCTACCAAGTCTGGGGAAGTCCCTAACCATGTGGCGTGTATCACCACAATCAAAACAAGCTCTAGGAGGATGCGATGGTTGTGACTGGCTGGGACTAGGCCTGCTGGACTGACCTCTGGAAACACCTCGCACAGGAGGCGCGCTAGAAACTGGAGGTGCATAGTAAGGCTCATGTGGTGTAGGCGGAGCTGGAGTACTGCCGGCTGCTGGAAGAGCTGAATGAACAGGGCGACCCGAATAACCTCTGCCATAACGACCTGCTAATGGGGTACGGGCACCAGAGTAGTGACCCGACTCCCGAGACCTCTTGGCCTCCCTCTCTCCTCGCTCCCTGGTGAGCATACCCTCAATCCTCCTAGCAATGCTCACTACCTGCTGATAAGGAATGTCCATCTCCAACTCTCGAGCCATGCTAGACTTGATGGGCGGAATAAGGCCCTCAATGAATCTGCGAACTCTCTCTCGAACAGTAGCAACCAAAGCCGGTGCGTGCCTGGCCAACCTGGTATAACGGATGGCATACTCTGAAACTGTCATAGCACCCTGGCGCAAGTGCTCAAACTCTGCGCGCCATGAATCTCTGAGGCTTTGGGGAACAAACTCCCTCATAAACATGTCCGAGAACTGGGTCCAAGTCAGTGAAGCAGCCTCGACTGGACTGTCTAACTCATAAGTACGCCACCGATCATAGGCGGCTCCCTGAAGCTGAAAAGCAGTGAAAGAGACCCCGCTAGACTCCACTATGACCATAGTACGAAGAATGCGATGACACTCCTCCAAAAATCCCAAAGCATCATCTGATGCTAAGCCACTGAACACTGGGGGATCATATTTCTTAAACCTCTCAAGCCTCCGCTGCTCGTCCTCTGAAGCAGCTGACCCATCCTCGGGCTGAACTGGTGCTGCAGGCGGTGGGGGAATAATCTCGGGAACCTGCTCAACCTGCACTCGCTGCTCAGGAGTGCGGACGGCGGGAGTCTGCGCTCCTCCCCCGGCCTGGGACGTGGCTGCAGTAAGGGAAAGCAACCCCGCCTGAGTCAAGGTGGTGTACATGCTCATGAACTGAGCCAAAGTCTCCTGGAGCGCTGGAGTAGTAGTGGCAGTAGTAGGTGTGCCAGGTGCTTGGGCTCCATCTGGATCTGCTGGTGGTACCTCGGCGGCAGCTCGCGCAGGTGCTCTGGCTGCACCGCGTGCGCGTCCTCGACCTCTTCCCCAGCCCCGTCCTCTGACGGCTGCAGTAGGGGGCGCGGGTGCCTGATCATCTCGAGTAGCGCGTGTCCTCACCATCTGTGAGAGAATAGAAGACAGAAGTTTAGATTTGATGTCAAAAATATCGCACGACAAGGAATTCAAATGAAGTGAAGATTTTTCCTAAACAGTTACATAGCCTCTCGTAGATAAGTACAGACGTCTCCGTACCGATCAGCGAGACTCTAATAAACCGGCCTGTGTTCCGTGACTCCTATAAACCTAGAGCTCTGATACCAACTTGTCACGACCCTAGTTCACCAACCGTGAACATGTCATGACGGCACCTGTCACACCTCTTTTTTTACTACCCCCGCAGAAGAGGGTATAATAAAGGGAGTTATTTCCAACTTGAAGTGACAATCGGAACGGGATTTATTATTAAATTTTCAGAGTCGCCACTTAGGATATTAATGGTGTCCCAAGTCACCGGTTAAATCCCGACCCGAGGAGATTATGACCCTGTTATCAATCTGCGAACCAGAAATCCAGGTAAGGAATTCTGTTAACCCGGGAGAAGGTGTTAGGCATTCCCGGATTCCGTGGTTCTAGCACGGTCGCTCAACTGTTGTGATTGATTTTATCTGGTTTTAAAACATGTACTAACCTATGTGCCCTTTATTAATAAACCGCTTTTATTTATATCTTATGAGAATTGCAACACAGTGAAAATGCGTCTTGAACCGCGTCGCACCAGTGCACCCGTAATTGTTAACACATTTCGACTTCGTTGAGATTTGGATTTGGGTCACATAAATGTACACCCGTGTTTAGGAAGGTAAATTTATTAAAATACGTGCCTAAAGCAACTACGCGTTTATTAACTGTGTGGGGAGCCATGAAATTCGCTAAATGGCACATCCCGAGGTCTAAATATTTTGATATAAGCAATTAATGAGGGCCCCGCAATTTGTGTGTTTATTTGGCGAGGCTCGTCTCGTCAATTGTTTATTTTAAAGGGTAAATCCTAAAGCAATCTATGATTTTTATATTTATTCGTCTTTGACTATTTGTTACTGGACCTAATAGTGACTTTACACTGTGTGGCAGCCACTGGGCTCCAGGACGAGCCCAACAAAAGAAAAGGTTAAAATTACGTGCACACCATAAACTGACCGAGCAAATCTAGGCCCAGGCCCATACGTACACAAGCATTTAACCGAGCCTGGGCCGTTCATTGAGGCCCTGAGACTTATTCCTTTTGATAATAAAATACTGGGCCCAAACTGTTAAGCCAGGCCAGATTCCAGTTCAGATTTCAATATGCAGTGTTATTGTTACGAACTAAAAATCGAAACAGCCTAGAAACTTATTCAAGTTGTCCTATTGATATCAACCTAATACTGCCCAGTTTTAAATACAGAGATTGAACATTGGATGCAATCTGTACTGCATATAGGATTAAACATTGGATGCAATCTTCCCAGAAATTAATTACATAATCAGAATTAAAGCTCATTGCACAGTCCATACGAACAGTCCAGTTATACAGTCCAGGGTTTACACTCATATAAATCGATTTACACTGTGCTAGGTGATTAAATCTAATGCCCATTCGACTACCAACACACCACAGTCCAGGCAGCACATTTCAGGATCAAACAGGGGAGTAATTGTATTCCATTTCAAGCGTAAAGTTACAGCAAGGCAGATTCAAACGTGTACCTGGTAAATGCAAATGAGAAAAGGAAAAGATCAGCAGCAGTGACAGTTTTCAACAGCAGCCCAGGAATAAGTTAAAGTCCAGTAACAGCTCAGTCAACATAGCAAGTTCAGGGATAAGCTTGAAATTCCAGTGATGAACCAAGACAGTAACAACTTCAAGCATCAATGCAAATCGAAACCAACTTGACTACTCAGACTTCATTTTACAGCAGCTCAAATACACCCTAATGACTCTCTTTGCGGCAACTTTCAAATGTTGAACAGTACACTCGTAAACCAGCTTGTTTCTGATCCTAATGCTGATATTAGTATTATTCTGAAGGAATTTTAGGCTTCCAGAAACTTTGTGTAATGCCTTTTGGGAGGGGGTTTAGATGTCTGCCCAGAAAAAAAAAACCTTCTTCATCAAGGCAAATGAATGCCTACTTATAGGTGAACTTAGGGTCTAACTTCAGATTTTCCTTTTACCCCTTAGTCCCTATTCTAATTTCAGTGTTTACCCTTTACTTTCTGACTTGTTACACAAGTAACTACCCTAAGTTTATTAAAACCTACACTATAGTCCATCCTAGAAGGTTCTATACT